TTTTTTTTATTACAGAACTGCAATTATTAAGATATACTGAATGTTCATGTACTGAATTGTGATGATATTTGTGTAACAGGAGCGGTAAAATGCATGACCAGGTCGGGACTCAAACAAAAGGCTCCTCCAAACTCTAGACAGGTGCTCTACCAATTGAGCTACCTGGTTGCTGACGATCGACCCAGTCTAAACCCACTATACTTATAATATTTCAACAGTGAGATCTATTGTTACACCTCCACCCATCAGTGTGTAGTCTGATACATAAACAAGTTGGTCTACACACCTGGAATGCCTGCAATCTGTCATTGGCTTCAGTTGGAGTGATGCCTTCACACATGGGTCCTTCCTGCAAAACAAACACGTAAACCATCTCTTTGTCATAAAATGGTTAAGTCCTATACTCTGTATATAAAATATATATTTTTGATAACAAGAAACTCTGAACAACGGTAATGTGTTGTATAACGATTGCTAACTTTGCATGTAATGGCTATAGCTGGCATGAATAAAATAATTATAAATTGAATCAAAATGACACCCCATAAGAGATAGATACCAGATAACCATATGCCAGTCCATACATTAAAATTTAGTGCACCAATGTTTTTTGGCTAATCAAGTGCTAGAAGCGCGTTTCAGTGTGTATGGATGATACGTACAGTGTCATAATTGAGTCCAAAATCGGAAACATCTTTATGGAAGACCTCCACAGAAGTGAGTAGCTCACTCTTGAAGCCAGGCTGAACACTGACAAGCTCATCTTGAATCTGATTCTGAAAGTAAATTGTTTTATCAAGTAAACACCTTTATTTACAAATGTTTGGGTTAACGTTTCCAGTCCTAATCAGGGTTTCAAAAGAACAAACTTCTGCAAGGAGTTGATGAGGGTTTTTGGTAAAAATGTCTGGAATTTTGTTTCATGATAATGACCCAATCAAAAAGTTTTTAATTGAGGAGACAGTTTAACATACAAACTCGCAAAATATAAACCAACATCATCTGCTTCCAATTTCAATGATTCCATCATTTTACCCAGATGAGATGCCATGTGTATATGGATGACACACCCTAGAGGTGGATGTATAAAGACTTACTGAGCTGGAGATGAGTTTGTGGAAGGAATATCTGACTGAGTCAACTTTGTCTGTCTCTTCCTTTGGAATGGTGACCCCAAAATCTTGCAGCATAGCATAGGATTCCTAATTGGTAATAACAAAACAACTTGTAATGTTGCACATTTATCACAACGCTCACAGACCAATATTTATTATACATGTTTTATATGACCTGTTCATCTCCATTAAATGGTTGCTTTTCAAAGACTTTTTCTGGTTGCACAAAGACACAAACAATTCATAAGCAATAGACTCAGCAATATCATCAAACATGGTGCTTTCCTAGTCTCTGTTTGTTTTGATCACTGAGTCTTCTCACCTCCACTGGGCCGAGTGTCATGTCTATCTGTATGGTGTTTTCTCTGATGTCAGTAAGAGCAGCCATAGCCTCTCGTACATCCTCAAGATCTCGGATTGGACGAGCCAAGCGTTTGCTGTAGTCTTCTATGAAGTTGCAGACCTCTTCCATTTTATTGCGATATTTCCTGTTAAGTTCTTTCCCAAACAACAGCTTCCATGCCTTGATTTCCACTCTCAGGGCCAGCTTAAGAGGCTCTACAACAAGATAGACACTTTCCATATCATATATCTGATATGAAATCTACCGAAACTTAGTGAAATTTATCAGTTATGAAATGAATACCTTATGCAGTAAAATCAAGCATATATTGGACACATTATTTGTATTCACTGGTCAAACAAGTTATATGTTATTGTCAACCTATTGAAATTCTTTAATATGACAATGTATAAGAATGTATAAGTAGATTGGGCTGTTATTATGAAGGATCCAAACATGCTGCTACAACATTAACAAGAGGCCCAATGGGCCTGCATCGCTCACCTGGTAT